AGGAGGTCACTGAGCAAAATTACGGACGTTTCCCACCCAACAGCAGTCTCTAATACCTCTGGTAGATGGGGGAAGCATTATAGATACCTCTCAGCTAGTAGAGCCGGTCTCGATGGCTGGGCGGGACTGATGGTAAGCATCAGTACCGGTCGGATATAGAGATTGGTAGAAATCATAGAGGGAAGCACAATGGACCAATACAGGTCTAAGTGCATTGGGAAACCCACCCTCTCCAATAACTAACTAACTAACTAACTAAGCGCTTGAGCTATTGCGCGGCCCTACGTGACGGTTAATCCTACGCCTTAAAAATAAACACAAACAATATCAATCAGGATTTCGACCCAATAGGTCAACAATAGACAATTTATTCACCCTGAGACAAATAACGGAGAAATGCTGGGAATTTAATACAGATATTTACCTATGCTTCATAGATTTTAAACAAGCATATGATACGATAATAAGGAAGAAATTAAGGATGATTATGTCCACTTTTGGTACTCCAACAAAACTAAGTAGAATAATTAACTTAACCATGACAGAAACAATCAATAAAGTTAAAATCCAGAACCAGTTAACAGAATGCTTTAAGACAAATCAAGGATTAAAACAGGGTGATAGTCTGGCACCATCACTATTTAATTTGGTATTGGAATATATAGCGAGGAAATGTAATGTAGACACAAGGAACACCATAGCGCATAAACAAACGCAAATAAGGGCGTATGCGGATGATATTATTATAGTATCGAGGTCCCTAAGAGCAATGAAGGAGACATATAAAGAAATAAAAACCATAGCAAAAACAATTGGCTTAGAGGTGGATGTAAATAAAACTAAAATGCTGATGCAAACTGGAAAAATTAACATGGAAAGGGACCGAACAGAAATAGTTGAAGACTTCATATATTTAGGATCGAAATTCCACAAAGATGGAGAGGAAAATCATGAAAAACCAAGAAGAATAAAACTAGCGAATAATGCATATTTCTCGTTGCTATCAGTTTTTAGATCAAAGGATATACACCGAGCGATTAAAACAAAAATATATAAAACAATGATAAGACCGGTGCTTTATTATGGATGTGAGGGTTGGACGCTAAACAAGAAAGAGGAATCAATCATCAATTCTTTGGAGAGGAAAATCCTAAGACGAATTTATGGGCCAATAAAAGAGAATGGGATATGGAAATAAGATATAATAAAGAGTTATACAAATTATATAAGGAGCCAGAGATCTCAGTGACGATAAAGCTTAAAAGATTGCAATGGGCTGGGCATGTACAGAGAATGGCTAAGGAGCGTATCCCAAAGAAAATACTATACAGTACAATAGGTAGTAGGAGACAGACATGCTGGGAAACCAAGAACTAGATGGATTGATGCGGTGGAAGAAGATGCAAGGAAGTTAATGGGCGTAAGGAACTGGAAGAGAGCAGCGCAGGACAGAGAGGAATGGAGGGGCTTGATAAGGGAAGCCAAGGCCCGACATCGGGCTGTTGCGCCATAGAAGAAGAAGAAGAAGAAGAAGAATGGCCTGAGATAGTGGTGGTCTCTTTATTATACAATTTTATTGAACACTTTCTATCTTCAGTGGCAGAGACCAGCTCTTCCTAACGCATCCAGAAAAGCGGGATACTTTTGCTTTTTAGACTTGATGACGGAAGAAGATGCAGCTTCAGAAACGTCGTATAATTTAAATAAACCTCAGACGATGAGCGTTGCCCAACATAATTTTATAAAGAGAATTTGCTGAAATCGTCTTTGAATTTCAAGTAGCCATTGTTCTGTGCCTGTTGTGAACTGGGCCCCAAGTTCATAGGCATTTCTGGCTGGGAATGACCTCAGGAAAAGAGACTGAAGTCTTGACAAAAAGATGGCGGATATCTTGTATTTAACAAGTTGTAAAATTCAGGTCTGAAAGGTTTAAAAATCTCTTGAAAAATTCGTTTTTATAACCTCTCTGTCCGATGCCATAATAACATTTGGTGTGGCGCCTCTGTGGTCTAGTGGCTAGAGTGCCTTGCTACAGATCCACAGGTCCCGGTTTCGATTCCCGGCGCGACCAGATTTTCTGAGTAGTAGGTCTGGAATGGGGTCCACTCGTGAAGATAACTGAGGAGCTACTTGAGTGGAAAAGTAGCAGCTTCGGTCTAGAAAAGCGAGATTAACGGCCGTGAGGATTCGTTGCGCTGACCACGCGACACGCTCTACCCGCTAAAGTCGGTACTAACTTCGCCGACAAGCGGCGGTCGCTCGGTCGATATATTTCGTTTGCGGACTAAGACCACAATGTTTAGTTACGTAGTTTAGTGGAAATTAAAATTGAGTCTGTATTGGAAAGGGATACGTGACGCTTCATTCTAAGACCAAGAGATACTCAATTAAATAGGTTCGGGGAAGCTGATATATTATAAAAGTAAAGTAAAGCTATCCCTGTAACAGGCCGTGAAGGCCCATAGGGTTGTGAGACGCTGAGGGTCCCACATTAGCTAGACAATCGGCTCAAAGATTACGGTAAGGTTATCAGCCTTACGCGCCGGCCTAGCTTTTTTTTTCCTTGGCACTACAGCTCCAGTGAGCCTAGGCCTGCCTCCATGAACTTCTCCGTTCACGGCCGCGCTTTACTCCCCAGGAAAATTATTTAATTAATTATTGGTATTCATTTCTTTTAGAGGCTGAATCGACCCCAGGGCCATAGTGCGGCTGGAAGGATTAGGTCAATTGAAAAAATCCAGCGAGCTCATAAGGACTTGAACCCGTGACCTTCCGGCTTGTAGCATAGTGCCTCAACCATGTAACGCTTAAAGTAATTTATATCCATCGCTGTAAATCTGCCGTGCACGGTGTAATGTACAACGTTCAGATTATATTTACATAGTGTCATTCCACGTCTGCAGTCATCATCGTGACTTAAAGAATCGTTCCGACGAAGAAAAATCCATGTAATTTTCGGTGGGGCGGCCGGTGCAAGATCACAGGAGAGTGATTAATATTAAGTGAGATTCTAGACTTCAGAAACTTCATGCACCTTCTTTCCAATCGGGTTCCGTATGCTTTGAGAACGTGGCTATAATTTAGTTGTATGAAACCGAACTTTTGCGACAAATCAGTGCAAACGGAAGTTGCTTGTATGTCAAATACTGCATCTGCCACGAGAATACAAAATTACTAACACTTCGCGGAGAATCTTTGAATGCACAGTTCTCGTAATAAATTAATTACATGAATGACATAAAAACTTACTTCCATCTATCGTGGGGCTTCCAAAATCTCCCTCTTCTGTGTCCTTATTAACTCTTCATACAAGTTAGTAAGAGTGACAAAGCGGCCTCCGTAGTCTAGGGGTAACGTTCCCACCTCTTGACTCAAGGTACCCGGCGGAGGTCGTGGAATTTTTAAGGGCGGAAAAATTCAGGGAACAAGTCCTCCGGGAGGGACTTTAAGCCGTGTGTCCCGTGTCGTAGATTTACGGCACTTAAAAGATCCTCATGTCTCTAGGAGACCTCTGAGCAAAATGTAAAAAGTTTCACGCCCAAATAGTTTCCAATTTCTCCGGTAGATGGGGAAGTATCAGGGACCACTGCCAGAGAGCCGACCTCGCTGGCAGAACGGGGCTGATAGCGAGCACCAGTACTGGAAGGGCATGGCGACCGTAGAAATTAAAGGGGGACGCACAATGGGGAAACCCACCCCCTCCAAAAATAATAAATAATAATAATAAGAGTGGCAGATCGTGTCCACATGTTTCATATCCGAAAGTATTTGCCTGATCTCTATGGAATTTGGTATTGGGATCTATAATTAACTTTGCGGATGAAGTTCAATACAACTCGCTTTACATCAGAACTCATAACGATTAGATTAAAAAGTTTCATTGCACAAATACTGGTACCTTGCATGAAATATAAAGCAGGTTAAATTCTACAAGTCATAATAGTACGTATATTTCAACATCCTGCTGCTTTGAGATATAACTTACAATAATATTATTTTTTCCCCTTTGGCACTACAGCCCCAGTGGGCCTAGGCCTACTTCCATGAACTTCTCCGTTCACTTCGGTTTTTATAGATCTTACACATTCGGTGGGACTCCTTGGGCGGGTGATCAGCTCGTCGCAAGGCCTCTACCTGTACACAAACGCAGAAAAACGAACACACACAAACTAAACATAATATTAATTTAACAACATTAATTTACACTTAAATCACTAAATGTTTGTTAAATGTTTAAAATGTCTTTGAAAGTATTAAAATACATGTACATTTGGTAATGTTTCAGCCGCATAGGGCCATCTTCAGGCAACGCTTCTTTTTTGGTCAAATAGTGTTCTTTGAATTCTGATGCTGTAGGGTGATCTTATAGGATGAGTTTCTTCCTGCCCTAAATATTGCGGCTGTTTTCGTGTCCCATTGGGTGTGTCGCTCGCTTAGTTCTGCGTATCTAGTTTTGTTTTGTATTCCTTGTACAAGGGTAACGCCATGCAGTTGGATACAGCCGGACGGTTGGGAGGAATATACCGCGTCCATCTTCAGTATCCAAGAGTGAGCTACCATTGCCATTTTTATCTGTTAGTTTTTTGCATGGCTTACTCTTCAACCCTAAAGATGGAGGCGACATATTCCGCCGAAACGCCGGACTCTCTCTAAACTACACGGCGTTACAACAGAGACCATCATACAATTAATAGTTTCTAGTAAATTTGATGGTTTGTTTATTTATTTACGGCAGGACTTGTTTACACCAGTTGCGGTGGCCTGGGAATCACTGCCGGTGCGCATAGGCTCTGGGCGCACCGCTCCTACAAAGCCACATGGCAGCTGCGCATCATCCTCGGCATCTTCCAGACCATCGCTTTCCAGGTATACGTTTCCTATGTTTGAAGTTGTGATTATTCTGAAATTATTTGTGGCACTATTTCATTTGAAAAGTATATTCGGTACTCAGGGTGTTCAATGTAAAATTCCATTTCAAGGGATTATACAGTGTTGAATGAAATGAGGAAATGGTTATGAATGGCGCGTAGGTAAAAATTTGGAAGGAAGCGTTCGTGGCGTATTCGATGCTCCATCTCGTCATTCTCCTTAAAGTAATGAGGAAAACCATGATAAATCGCAGTGAGGGCATCCGGTAGCATGGCCTACAGCTGAAGTAAGATGTCGGTTAATGACTGTTATGCAACTTCAGGGTTGGTATCAGCACGGATTATGCTTATCAGGAAAGCAGGTATCTCTCATATTGGGCACGGTTTGGTACCCATACTCTCTCAACTAAAATTGCACAGTATTACGTGTACATTTCATCTTCTTCAGCTTTCGACTTTGGCTCATCCAAAATTCATAATTGACTTTGAAGTTATGAATCCTTAGATTCCTAACTCCTTACATGGAGAATCGAGGTATCGAATGGGATCTACCTATGAGAATAACTTCAGATAAAGCTATTCCTGTAACAGGACGTGGGGGCCCATAGGGCTTGTGAGACGTCGAGGCTCCCACATTTTATAGACAATCGGCTCACAGATGGCGATGAGGTTGTCAGCCTTACGCGCTGACCACCTTTTATCCCCAGGAAGATTCCTGGTACTCATTTCTGTTAGAGGCTGAGTCAACCCCAGGGCTATAGTGCGGCTGAAAGGATTAGTTAAATTGAAAAAATCCACTTCATCAGGAACTGAACCCGCGACTTTCCGACTTATAGCATAGTGCCTCAACCAACTATGCTGCCCTCAGAATAACTTAACAAAGGTAAATGCGAATGCATGTCTATGTCCCCTGTAGATTTCGAACCTGCTTTCCCAGTATTCGTGTCGTCCAAAATTAGTGGCTACTTCGATCGGCTGGAATGAAATTTAAGAACTAAAAACAAAAAGAAAGAGCAAATGATATTACTTTTTCAATCATTTTCAATTCAGCCACGTATATGACCGTCGTAATTTGAGTACTTTATTAAATATCATCATACGTTTTATAGTGTATACCTCTTCCAAATAAATTCTGAAATTATTACTACCAGTACCGTGTCGGTAAGGGGTACGCGGTAGCGTAGTTGATTGAGACACTGTGTTACAAGATGGAAGGTCGCGGTTTCTAGTCTTGATGAGGTCACTGGATTTTTCTATTGACCTAATCCTTCCAGCCGCAATATGGCCCTGGGGTCGACTCAGCCTATAACAGAAATGAGTACCAGGAATATTCCTAGGGGGTAAAATGTGGCCGGCGCGTAAGACTGACAACATTACCGCCATCTGCGAGCCGACTGTCTAGAAAATGTGGGAGCCTCAACATCTCACAACCCTATGGGTCTTCGCGGCCTGTTACGGGGATAACTTTATCTTAACTTACCGTGTCGGCAAAAGATGATTCTGCTTATGCACGTACTTTAAAATGCGCCTAGCTAGCCAATCAGAAAGCTGGTATATTGCTGTCTGTACAGCCTGATTTCTGAGCAGTAACTGTCCGTTAATAGTCTGGCTGACATGGGGACAGCACTTCTTACCAGTTGACGTTATGATGAAGCAGGGACTTGCGGATTTCCGACAGCGCCACCGTGTAACGAAGCAAGCCCCTATTTGGGACGAAAAACCTGGTACAGTTTCCGGAACTTCGTTTCGACTCCAGACACTACAGCGTGCAGACGTGACCTTGCGATTTCGTGATTTCACGAATCAGTGCACGGCACACCCTGTGTAGGTAACCTCGTGGAACACAAGTTCTGTGTTAAGTTTTTTTTATTATTATTATTATTATTTCCCACTGGCGTAAAGTTACCGGAAGTTACTGTCGGCCAGTTCTCTATAGAGGCGGACAGCTAATGCGAGGGTTCACTAAACGGCGGCCGGACTGTAAATGGCTTAATAGTCTTAAGAATTTTATTCGGACTGGTCTGAAACAAGATGGAGACGTTACATTACCATTATTTTTCAATTTTGCAATTGTTAAGGTCCAAGAAAACCTGGAGTGGCTGAACGGTTCAGAATCTTCTGTCTTCTCGTCTGACATGTAGGGACATAAATATTTTTGCCTGTAATTTTGTATAGGTGTGCAATCGGTCTCTCTCATTAAGAGACGAACAAAGACAGGGTGTCTGAGAATAGTGTACCGTGGAAAGTATTTTAATCTAAGAGGAATGAAATTACAAGAAGCTAAGGAAAACCACACAATGAAGGAAGCACGGGAGAAAAGAAATACATATGGAGGTCTGGTAGGAAAACCTGCAAGAAACACACTGAGAAGACGCCAGTATGGATAAGATAATATTAAAATTGATCTTAAACGAATAGAATGTGAGCGTTTACATCGGATTCGTCTGGCTTAGGATGAGACCAGTGATGGACATTCGAGAACACGATGATGAACCTTTGGGTTCGATAAAATACTGGGCATTTCTTAACTACCTGAGCACCTACTAACTTCCCAGGAAGAACTGTGCAACATTAAGTTAGTTAGCCAAGAAGGCCGTGCCATAGCTCAGGCTTCTCACAGCGGTGGTCCGGATTCAATCCTGGGTCAGGTCATGTGGGGGCAGCGGTGCACTAAGTGGCACTGGGGCAAGATTTCTCCACGTACGAGTACAATAGGCTGATTAGTGTGCCAGGCTCTAATCTTGACATCAGCGAAGTGATGGCGCGGGACGAGAGGGGAAGAGGAAGAAACAGGCCACTAGCCTACTTCTGTAGTACTGAGCTTAACTGAACTAAATCGTGGTTATATATATCTCTATAGTGAAAAGCATCATTTCAGCAGTGAAACATAGTATAATAATATTGTACCTGATGAAGACAGTCACAAGGAACTTGCACAGCCACTATACAGAATGTACTGAATGTTTTGGTTCAGGTAGTAGTTGCTGATTCATGTTGCTGCCGCGCTTTAAATGGCTCGGACTTCTGCAGTCCTCACAGAGAGCCTTCTACTGCAGTGGCCGACGTACCAAGTGGACTGAGTCTCATCCCATCTCACGAAATAAAACAAGAAAAACGATAGCCAGAAAGGAGAGCATGGAGAAATATGCCTTCCCATATACACCAATCCGGGGGCTCCTGCGGTGTGTAGATGTACATATCAGGGACGCTATGCAACGTGTGACTCGCTGTTGGCCTCCTCGAATTCAGACTTACAGGATATGGACTTGTTTGGTCATGCGGTAATTGTTCTTGCATGAGGAATCACAAGACAACAGCGCAAAATGCTGACAAACACGTGTGGCCCTTCGAACCCGACACCCTCATGGTCGCCGGGATAAGCACCTTCAGGAGAAAATCCAAATTCTCGTCTCAGTATGTTCAGCAAACACAGTGATCGTACTTGAGTAAACACAGATTTTCTCTCGCTCCTCTGAATAGCAGCCAACACCCCTTTGCGTCCCTATCACCCCAAAAATGATCACTTACATTCCCCCCTCTTACCAGCGCTAGGTTTGATATTGGTGCTGGCAGATTTAAGTATGTAATGCAAATGGCGTGTGGTGGCACTAGTGCTCCAGCCACTAGTGTTCGCTCTGTGTTTAAACGGAGAACACAATACGGACCGCGAACGAGCTTTTAATTTAATTGGATTGGTTACCTTACATCCGTATTGCACGCAACAGCGTACTGGAAATGTTTCTATCCTCTGAAACAACTAACATCTTCTCCTTTTCGTCTTAGAAATTCTTGTAATCGGCTTGAAGTAGCAATCGTCCCGTAAACAATGTCCCGCGCGTGCGCGGATGTCACAACGACCCGTGTGGGCACATTCTCGAGTGCTACTTCAATAAACAAATTTTCGTTGCTTTTACGCCTAAGAGCATTCGACAATATGTACGCAAATTTGCACCACGTGCAGCTACTTATAAGTGCATATATTTGTAACAATTTTGTTTCTGTTCACTTTCTGTTCGACCGCCTCTGTGGTCTAGTGGCTACAGATCCAGATATCCCGGATTCGATTCCCGGCGCTACCACATTTACTGAGAAGTAGCGGGTCTGATGCCGGAAGCAGAGTCATCAGCAGCGACTTGAAGCACAGAGCAAATGATGCTCGAAATGGTTCAAGTTCGTATAGCAACAGGCGTGACCAAAGTGGTTTGAACGGCTGTTGTACTGCAATGTGGAAAGCAAATGGAAAAACTACAACATTATCACTTTTCCTGGATAGTCTCTTCCCAAAAACAGAAGATCGCATTAAGTGGAGGAACTGTTTTGGAAGAGACTGTGGACCTGTCGTCTGACAGGTTACTGATGAATGAATGAAAGTGGGTCTGGAACGGGGTCCACTCAGCCTCGTGAGGACAACTGAGGAGCTACTCGAATGGAAAATCAGCGGCTCCGGTCTAGAAAACCGAGATTAACGGCCATGGGAAACCGTTCCGCTGACCACGCGACACACTCTATCCGCTAAAGTTGGCACTAACCTCGCCGACAAGCGGCGGTCGCTCGGTCGGTATATTTCGCTTGCGGACTAAATCCACGGAGTTTTTTTTTTACAGTTTTCTGTTCTTCCTTGAAATTAGAAACCACGTTTCACTACAGTAAGAAACGTCTGATGAAATGGCTGTTTTATATACCTTAATGATCTGTTGTATGAAATTTCACGCGTTTGAACTGAATAATAATAATAATTTTACTAATTTATTCTTGCAATGAATTATATATGAATAAATACATTTCATTTCAGAATCATATCTATGAATGGGCACGAGACCACAGAGTACATCACAAGTTCTCAGAAACTGACGCCGACCCTCACAATGCAAAACGGGGTTTCTTTTTCTCACATGTGGGCTGGCTCCTTATGAAGAAACATCCTGACGTAAAAAGCAAAGGCAAAGTCGTGGACATGAGTGACTTGGAAGAGGACTTCGTCGTCGTCTTTCAGCGACGGTAGGTACAAATGTCAACCTAGAGGCCTGTACTGAACTCCGTCAGTGCAAATCTTCAGAATGGATGGTTCAAATGACTGTCAAAATGGCTACCAAATGAAATACTGGAGAGTGTCCTTAAGAGAGGAACACTAATCGCATCAACATTAATTCGCCAATATGTAAATGTATACAAAAGTATGCAGTCTACACAACAATATTCTGTATTTAAAACAGAGCAGACACTATTGTATCAACATTTGTTTTTATTGACGCTACATGTTTCGACTTTGTTGTTATTGTTATTGTTCGAGGGAGTGGGTTTCCACATGCACCGCGACTAATTATTAATCTATTGTGCGTCCCCCTTTAATTTCTACTGTCGCCATGCCCTTCCAGTACTGGTGCTCGCTATCAGCCCCGTTCTGCCGGCGAGGTCGGCCCTCTCTGGCAGTGGTCCCCGATACTTCCCCATCTACCGGAGGAATTGGAAACTTGGGCGGGAAACTTTGCCTAATTTTGCTCAGAGGTCTCCTAGAGACAAGAGGATCTTTTACGTGCCGTAAATCCACGACACGGGACACACGGCTTGAAGTCCCTCCCGGAGGACTTGCTCCCTGAATTTTTCCGCCCTTAAAAATTCCACGATCTCCGCTATGTTTCGACCTTTATACTCAGTCATCATGAGGCGTACAAAGATATTAGTCTCAATTGTTCAATTGCATCTAACTATTTGCATCTGATTCTTCCAATAAGGATCATTATTGTGCTCTTGAGAGCTTTTAAATGTTACAGTTAATTATAGGGACCATTTATAAGGAACCAATAAATCCGATTACAAATCCAAACCTGTCTCTAGTCACTCAACTCATATTTCCATAAGTATTAATACAAGTAAGGCCACACAGAGAGTAGCCTTTTCCGGCAGAACCTCTGTCATGCTTAAGTATTCCAGTTATGGAAAATGCATGATTTGGCACTATAGCGTCTCTGGATGTCTGTTGGCAGATACTATTATATACTGATGCCTCTCCTGACTTTCATAATCCCAACACTGGTGCCTGTGTTTCTGTGGAACGAGGACCCCTGGATGGCGTGGTACTCCACTATGTTTCGGTGGGTCTTGGCCCTGAACTGTACGTGGCTCGTAAACAGCGCTGCCCATATGTGGGGCAATAAACCATATGACAAGTGAGTATAATTTCGCTAAAACACAAATTACATTTTCTTTTTGCGTTCGCAGAAATTTAAAAACCTCCCCCCTCACATTTCTCTTTGTGGAGCAACAAAAAGTGAAGTCACTGTGACGTCTTGGCATTTGTACGAGCCGACAAGTAACAGGAATAGCGAATTACTCCTCTTTGTTCGCATTCCGTAATCTGTTTTGCACTGACCATAACTAACTGAATCCATGGAGCTGAGCCGTCCTTAGCAAGCAGTATTGCAGCTACTCAAGATTTTCCCAATATTTCATGCAACCCGAAGGTTCATTACTGTGTTCACAAGAGCCCTACACTGGTAAGTCAGATCAATCCAGTCCATACCATCCCATTCTTTTTCTCTAAGATCCATTTTAATATTATCCGCCCACTTACGTTTTGGTCTTCCTAGTGGTCTCTTTTCTTCTGCCTTCGTGCTACATGACCTGTCCACCCCATCCTCCTTGACTTGATCATTCCAATTATACCTGGAGAAGAGTACAAGTTACGAAGCTCCTCATTATGCAGTTTTCTCCAACCTCCCGTCACTTCATCTCTCTTCGGTCCAAATATTCTCAACACCCTGTTCTCAAACACCCTCAGTCTATGTTCCTCCCTTAATGTCAGAGACCAAGTTCCACACCCATACAGAAGTACAGGTACAATTACAGTTTCGTACGTTCTAATTTTTACTTTTTTAGACAGCAGGTGAGAAGACAAAAGTTTCTGGACTGAATGATAGCAAGCATTACCCGAGTTCAATTTCCTCTTAATTCCCTCCTTAATCAAATTCTGATATGTTAATGTTGCTCCGAAATATTTCAACTATACCAGATTTTCAAAGGATCTGTTAACTATTTTAGTGTCATGATATTACCCTATATTCTGGTGAAGAGTCGTTAATCTGCTTAGTTTTCTCTGAGTTTACTTCTAGACGAGCTTCCTTACTAACGTTAGTTAAACGTTTTGTATTTTTCTCTATTGTACATACGTATGTCATGATATGATTCATATCATCAGCATGTGTCCCATTTAATTTCAGTCCCATCTGGTCTTCCTGGGACCTTCCTAATGGCATATTCCAAAGCAAAGTGGAAAAGTAGTGGCGATAAAGCATCTCCTTGTTTTAGACCATTTTGTATAGGAAAATTATGAGACAAACGTTTGCTTATACGGACTTTATTATACGTTTCGTTCACACATTCTAACAAGCCTACATAGTTTCATGGGCGCCCCAAACTCTATGAGAATATTGTACAATACTTCCCTCCTAACTGAATCATAGACTTTCTTGAAGTCTATGAATAGCTGATGTACTGTCTCACTGTATTCCCACATTTTCTCCAACATCTGACGAAGGCAAAAATCTGATCCGTAGTTCATCTGTTACGTCGAAACCCACACTGATGATCCCCAATAATTTCATGTATATATGGACTTCCCCTTGATAGAAGAATATTGAATAAGATTGTGTATGAAGTTGATAGCAGTGATATCCCCCGATAATTACACGTACCACAGTCAGTTTTATCGCCCTTCTTGTAAATTTGTACAATAATAGACTCCTTCCACTGATCAGGCAATTTTTCCTTATTCCTAATAAAATTAAAGAGGTCATGGATCTCAGACCGTAATATTTCACCTCCGGGCCTAATTTCATCACTACCTGGCGATTTAAACTTTTCACCTTTGAAGTAACAATTTCAACCACAAAATGATTAGAATCAGGAAGTATGTATGTATGTATGTATTTCTATATGCCTAACATCACGGACCCTATGTATATTCAATAACTGAGAGAAGTAGTTCCTCCACCTGTTCAAAATGTTGTGGGAATCTGCAAGCAGATCACCATTCTCATCCTTCACTAAGTTACTGCTAGGTTGGTAACCACTCTTAAAGTAATTTATTCCTCTATACAGGTCTTACTGTTCATTGCAAGCTCATCAATTTTGTCTTTCAGATGTTTCCTCTCCCCCCCCCCGAAATGCTTGTTGGCTTCTCATTTTATATTGTTCCATGTTATCCTCAGTTATTTGGCTTACATCCTGTAACCATTCCAGTCTGACTTGTTTCCTTTAGTCTAATACTTTCGAAAATATTTGTCAGTCTGTCAGCCTGCTTTTCACATCTCCCGACTGCTAGTTGTTTTTCGATGGAATTCGATTTGTGATGTACTTTTGGTCGAACAGAATTTCGATCCGTGTCGATACTAACAACGATCGTTTTCCAAAAATCTCCAATCAAAATAAGCACATGTAAAGGAATCTCATTAAGATCTCAACTCTTATCTCAAAGAGTTTTAGAAACTATGTACATCTATATGTACAGAAAAGAGTAGAATTTTCCCTCTGATTAATTAATAAAGCACCATACCATGAAGACGTATGAGGGAGTAGAGGTAAAGCTCCGCCATTCTTGAGCTCGGCACTAGACAGATGTGAGTGGTCACCTCCAAACCTCGGCCGCTTTACCCATGGAAGAATATCCCTTATATAGGGGGCTGGGTGGGCCCCAGAGCCGGTCTGGATACTGTGATGTAGAGAAAAATCACTTTCCGCTATCTGGAATCGAACTCCGGCCATTCAGCTCGTAACCATACCTAGCTCTCCATCTGTGTATATTGTATTTTAACAGACACGCGATTTGTATTTGTAACATGTTTTTCTTTTCTACACAGCAGACTCTGTGGCTATGAAATCCAGCAATTGTTGCCTTAGTCTGTTCTTTCAAATAAGGAACTTAGTAACAGGCACATGGGCATATGCAGTGTAATGCCTTTGTTGTTAATTTCCCTTTCAAAACAACAGATGTGGAATTCTATTTATTGCAAATATACTCTGATAAGCTACGTGAACAGCATGTATCAAAAAAAGAACGCCAAGACAAACAAGGATGAAAAGTTACAACAGCAATAATATCTATTTTCCAACCGCACTCCAGCGTTCATCTTCGTGAACTAATTTCTATAAACTGTAAGCTGAGAATGTTGTTTTGCTTCCAGAAACATATCGCCAGCGGAGAACATGTCTGTGGCCATCTTGGCGTACGGAGAGGGGTTTCACAACTACCATCACGTGTTTCCCTATGACTACAAGGCAGCTGAACTAGGGGATTACATGTTGAACCCAACAACTGCGTTTATTGACTTCTTCGCTCGCATCGGATGGGCGTACAGCTTGAAGACAATGTCAAGGAAAACCATCATGGCGCGCATATTGAGGACGGGCGATGGTACACACAAACGCATCGGCAGAAGCAATTCACCCGACTGTCACACCCAAGAAGATCATGTGTGGGGTTGGGGTGACGCAGACATGAAAGAGGAAGACTGCAAGTTTGTGTCGGTACTTGAAGAAGAAGAAGAATAAAAGACGTTAACTTATTAAGATCAGAAGACTCTGTGTGTGTTTTTGTATGTGTTTGGGGGTTCTCTTCTAGCTTGCTGTCAATTGATACAGGTGACATATACGATACGATACCGGTGACCTTGGCATCGATATATTTTCCCCGGAATTTATCATTTGCTTCAGGTAGGAATAAACCAGAGAAACTAATGATAAAATTGAAACATTTCCCCCTTTCAACTACGTAAAAATGTATTATAATTTTATATTTTATTAGAAGTAACGGCTGGGGAGCTGGGGTAGCCTAATCAGTATAGCGACTCTGCTACTGGCTGGACAGCCGAGGAGTTGGGGTTCGAGTCCGGGTAGAAGTATGATTCTTCTCCTTTCAATGTTGTCGAGACCGGCTCTGGGGTCCACCCAGCCTCTTATCAAATGGGTACGGGGAGCTCTATCCCCGGAGATAAGGCGGCAGGGGCGTAAAGCTGAGCAGTTACCTCCGACTAATGCCGAGGTCAAGAATATGTAGCCCTATACAGCCACCCCCTCATATCTTCATGTAGTAGTGCTTAATCAGTTAAGCACAGGAACAACTTTACTTTTGTTAGATGCGATGGCTATTTTTTTTTTTTTTACAAACTTTAAGTTGCTCTCACAGAACGATTCAGTATCGATTTTAGAGTAGCTATTCGGTATCGATCTATAACGCGTATTGATTGACGTCCCTGATTATGCTGTAAAATAAAGGTTACCAGTTTTCGAAGCAAATAGTGTATAGAGAGACTGGAATTTCCAATTTCAATGTAACTGTAAAACTACACGTTATTTACTGCATGGCCTGTTTACCTCCAGGTGACGGGTGGGCAATTAGCACTCCTCAATTTTATTACAATTCATGTATGAGTAATTTATTAATTTAAGTCAATGAATAAATAATACATATGATACAATAATAAGTTTTACCTGTTGTTCTGTATGGGGGTGAAACTTTGTGTCTCACGCCAAAGAACATTAATCAAGGCTGGGTGTAATTTCTGTCGCAAAATGTACGCCACTTTGGAAGCCTAGGTGCAGACAGAAGGATGGCACTAATAAAGCAGACGATTCAACTGGCTTAGGGCTTTGGAGGGCTCTCGGAACACTGTAATGATTCCATGAAAGGCAGGAAACTTCTTGACAAGCTAAGCAACTATTAAACTACCCAAGAAGAGATTTACTTCAGGACACGTGTATCACCGATCACCATACTAGCTCTGGCTGTCACTACTGACACGTTAATCCAAACGTTAGTTAACGACGTTTCGTCAAATCAGATAGGAATGGACTGACTATAATGATGTTATGGAGGACGTGGTCGTTTCTTGTTGTAAAGAGTTATCGTTGAATTCGCCCATAATGAACAACTAACATCGTAAGGAGCCTCCATCTTACAATCAGAATATACAAAACTATTTTGCCTGTGGTTCTGTATGGGTGTCAAACTTGGTCTCTGACATTAAGGGAGGAACATAGACTGAGGGTGTTTGAGAACAGTGTGTTGAGGAGAATATTTGGACCGAAGAGAAATGAAGTGACAGGAGGCTGTAGAAAACTGCATAACGAGGAGCTTCATAACTTGTACTCTTCTCCAAGTATAATTAGAATGATCAAGTCAAGGAGGATGAGGTGGGCAGGTCATGTAGCACGAACGGGGAAGAGGAGGAATGCATATAGGATATTGGTGGGAAAGCCGGATGGAAAGGCCACTGGGAAGATCATGGCGTAGGTGGGTGGGCAATATTAAAATGGATATTAGAGATATAGGATGAGATGGTATGGATTGGACTGATCTGGCTAAGGATAGGGATCAGTGGACGGCTCTTGTGAACACGGTAATGAACCTTCAACTTTAATAAAATGCTGGGAAATTCTTGAGTAACTGCACAATTGGCGGCCTCTCAAGAAGGGCTCAGCTCCATGAGTGAATGACCTCCATCTTACGCCAAGATTAACAGCAAGCCATTTACACATGGTTTTATCTGCGGACTTGAAACGTGGAGAAATCTTGTGGTTGAAGTCTGCGACAGATCAGAACCGTTGCTGGCCACCAACATGAAAAATTCCGAAGCAAATTTTAAGGCAATGGCAATGAAACAGCCCATTGTTTCAGAACATTCCAAACAGGAAACCTAGTTTAAGTAGCTGACCCATAGGGGCTTTGCTATGGGTTACATCATCATCATCATCAGTAATCTGTCAAGACGACAGGTCCACAGTCTCTTTCAAAACAATTCCTCCACTTAATGCGATCTAGAGCTTTCTCCTTCAAATGACAGTACCCTCTTCTGTCCCCAAGGTCATCCAGCATCTTCTTACGTCTTCTTCCTCGTCTTCTTGTCACTTCTATCCGCCCATCTATCTTTCCTTCGATAGCTTCTTTTAGAAGGCAGTTTCTGCGTAAAACATGACCAATCCAATTAGCCTTCCGTTTTCTTATTTCATGTAGGATATTCCTCTGCTCACTGACTCTAATTAACACTTCTTCATTTCTCACATAATCGGTCCAACTGATCTTCTCCATTCTTCTCCAACACCACATTTCGAAACTTTCCAGATGTTTCTGATCTACTGCCCTAAGTGTCCATGTTTCAGCCCCATACAGAGCTATGCTCCAAATGTAGCATTTCACTAGTTTCTTCCTCAAATTTAAGTCCAATTTGCTGGTAAAAAGATTCTTCTTCTTGCTAAATGCAGCTTTTGCCATGGCAATCCTGGATTTAATTTCACATATAAACTCATTTTAACTGGCCTGACTAGTGTCGATACCTCGAACTCAATGACAATGACTTCACGGTCATTCTTTAAGTCCATAAATAACCTATGAGATATTCCATTGTATTTCAATTTTACTTCAGAAATGTGACACATGAAAGAAACCTGATCAACAGTTGATCTGTTACATTGAAATCCATGCCGATGATCTCCAATAATTTTCGTCTAATCCGGATTTAACCTTGAGGGAGAAAAGTTTGAAAAATGAAAGTGTGTGTTGTTAGAGGTGCGTCATTGTCTACGTCTATTTGAGCCTGGATAACATTCAGGCTGGGCCGCTCTATATAAAATGCAGTACAAATTCCTTAAAAACAGACTTGTGTGAGACTGTAACCTAACGCTTGGCAAAACAACTCAGTAGAATAAACAACAATTATTTTATTAAGAGTATGGCTGTATACAGGCTAGTAAAAAATTTCACATTTGATTACGGTGATATGCTTCGATAATTATTACATCGACCTTTATCAATTTTTTTTGTATATCGTATCGACTCGTTCGAATGATGATTCAGTTCCTGCTTATTCCAAATAGAATGAATATATTTTATGGATCTCAGAATGCAATGCTGTACCTCCTGTTTGGATCAATTCTGACGGACAATCTGTGGTTGAGGATTCAATCTTTCCATCTAAGGCGTTTGAACTGGTAATGTGCTTGCTGACTGTCCCTAAGTATTGCAAATACCACATAATTGTCAGCATCACAGGCTGAGCATCAAGCATACTTCTCCTATCTATCAAGACGCTGCCAGGCAGAATGTACTTGTATCAGTCCGAAGGGGTCCAAATTTTTATGAATGTTGTGATGTGGGAACACCGTACTTCTGGCAATTAGATTTGTTGATGTGCAAAGCTTGTCATTTTTCTTTTCACGTGTACTCTAGTTTCTAATTCATGTGGTACTTACGGAATCAATAAAATGCATTCTCTACTTACTTTCCATCATCAATTTTATTATCACTTCAGCCATGCAAATTCAGATAAATATATAACACCTGCAACCTCTTAGTAATGATATCCTAGATACTGCGTGGCATCATACGAGCAAGAAGATCCACCCTCTTAACAGCCTCCCCATATATACAAAAAATCTTGACCCTTGTCATTCTCAATTTCTTATAAGATATACAATTATCTGCAAGCTCACTGCCAGTCTCGCCCCATCTGACCTCCGGCACACCCTTTACGTCTAACTCGTTCGTTGCTATTATTTTAATGAGCGTGACTTACAGAGATTTCTTACGTTCCAAGTTTCACATCTCACGCCCATCTTCCTTTGTGTCTGATGTACTACTGATCCATGTCCGAGTCATGTGTGACATTTTGATTTTTATGGCGAGATGTTTGCCCTACGCCCAACCCCCAAGCTAGAGGATCATTCCTCGACAGCTGTTCGCGGCGGCTTATTCAATATTGTCGCGTGTTTGCTAGGCAATGCGACAAGAAATTATGTGATTTCTCGGACTAGAACGAACATTTATTGGACAGTCACTTTCACACTCACACGTACACAATTATTCTCCACTTAGACGTTTCTTCTTCAATGTTACAACACTCTCGCTCTACGTCGAATAGCAACTCTTTCCTGCTAAAGTCGAATACAAACTGAACTCGTTTCTGGTCGACATACGACTCTTATCACGTGCACTCGGACTCAATAGGGAATACTTGGTTGAAGGGTTAATCCCGCCCTATGTTACGCAACGAACGCGAGAATACGTGTCTGCCTCAACAATTCGTGTGTAACGGTTGGAAACTGGGCCGCGCCATAGCTCAAGCGGTTAGTCGCTGGCTTCCCACCGCAGCGGCCCAGGTTCTATCCTGGGTCTGGTCAAGTGGGATTTGTGGTGGACAAAGTGGCGCTGGGGCAGGTTTTCGCCGAGTGCTTCGGTTTCCTCTGACAATCTTCATTCCAACAATTGCTCCACAATCACCCTCACCTGTCATCTGGGGCTGGTACAATAGGCCAGAAGTGGCCGCAGTACAAGGGACTTAGTCCCATCCCACTAGCAATAAAAAATACAGTGGAAACTCCACTGTTAGATTGTTAGCCGTTGTTTAGCAATGGATACGTTCCGATTCCTAGCCGCTGTAATGGAACGTTGGTCGTTGCTTAGGAAATCAACCCTGATCTCCTAATCCATTCCGGCTTTCTCGCGGCACGCCATAATTTATTCGCAGCCACACTCCATATATCGGGCTGTTACTTCCAAACGAAACCTTAAACGCTTTCATGTAAAACCTTAAACGCCTATAGTGTTTCATGTACAACTTAATTTGAAATGGTCTTGTGAACGCAATCAAACATTTACGAGTATGATTAAAGTGTGAACAAAGATCAATATTTTTAGTACATTGAGACAAAATTCTCAAACACACTTAGTCTCAAGAATCTGAATTTATAAAACTTTGCCCACACCAGCGTCATCGTAATGGGGCAAAATATGGACCTCGAAAATTCTGAAGCTAATATCTCAGCTGTAATATGACTTATGTGACAGATACCACACAGGTATCCCATCTCAAACAAGAAAGAAGCTAAGAAATAATAGAGTCACAACTTTCAACAGTAAATATCCAACTTCGTATTTTTTTCTGTGGCGCTACAGCCCCAATTTGGGCCTAGGCCTACCTCCATGAAACTTTCCGTTTCACTTCGGTTTACTAGATCTTACACATTCGGTAGGACTCCTTGGGCGATCGATCAGCTCGTCGCAAGGCCTCTATCTGTAGACAAACACAGAAAAACGCACACAAACATCCATGCCCTGAGTGGGATTCGAACCCACGATCCCGGCTTCCGAGCGAGCGAAGACAGTGCATGCCTTAGACCGCTCGGCTATCGTGACCGGCATACAAATTTGTATACTACCACAGATTTGCTAACAGCGTCATAAAGAAACCCACAGAAACAAAATACAAAATATGAAACCGGAATGGCCGTGTTCCTCTGCATGGAACTAAAACCACTATAAAATATAATTTATTACTTTACATTACTTCAATGTACTTACTAATTCTGGGTCTTGCGTAATTAAATCCTCTTCTTTCTGGCTTAGACGGTAGGAAAACGCTGATCTCGCAGTGACCACAGGAATACTGCAAATTAACATCCACGGGCTTCAAGCAATTCATGCCTCACTTAATTGGTCACTGTTGCGTCATAACCTGCGACAAAAGTCTGTACATGATGAATGATCAAGTTAGGGCTCTTTTAAACATCTGATTTACAAGTAAAACTACTTCTTTTCGTACAATGAAATAATTTACGATACTTTTGTATTACGGATGTGTTGACATGCATTACACAGCGCAGAAATTTTAGAGTACTTTTTTTTTTTTTTTTTATTAATGGTTTTTGTTTTAATTTTGTTTTATTATTNTTTTTTTTTTTTTTTTAAGTAAGGCTTACGGTATTAATGTTGTATCATTATATATATATATAGGGCCTAAGTTCTGTTGGTTCCTCTATACAGAAGGAAATATTTCAAGGAAAGTATGTATTGTGGCGTGCCGCCTAAAAGCCAGAATATCTGAGCGGACTACCATTGCTAGACAACGGCTTGTTAAAAACAAGTGGCCGGACAAGCTGGAACATACCATTGCTGAGCAACGCTCGATAAACACTGCATGAAAGCCGGAAGTACGCAGTCAGAAAAGGAAAGCAAAGAAGTCTGTTACTAGACAATGGCTCAGTAGTTATGTTTCCCATATAACAAGGAACAGTGATTACCTCGTTGCCTAGGCGACAATTGTAAACACGTAAACACTACAACGCGTACATTGGCAGAAGTTACCGCAGGAATGAAAGCCAGAGCTACTGCAGTTCCCGCTGCAACGAAAATCCTTCAAGAAGGTGTCTTCCAGTCCATCCGACTGTAGAAGATAAGATACCAAACGGAACACAGGGCAGGCCACACCCGTGTGGAGGCGGGCTCGAATACCTCCACCGTGACCCTGAGAGTCGTGGGAGGCGACCAAAAGGGAAGTCTCAAATTTGAGACAGTAATATATGGTCTCAGGTACCAAGGACCTAGGATCCGAGAGAGACTGCGCTGGCAAGGACCAGCAGCATATACAAAAGACAGATCCGTCCTATCGTCAGAGAGGGCGCCCACAAAAACAAAAAAAAGACCGTAACTCTCAAACACTAATAAAGATCTGGTAGCAAGCCTCAGATGGGGCTCGACAGTAAGACTTACTGACTGACCGTTAGTCGCAATGTGACTAAGTTTGACGACAGATCAGATCAAAGAAGACCGGAGCGGAAATGAGATCAGAGGAGACCGGAGAGGTGGTCTGATCAGAGGAGAGCAGAGCGGAGGCCAGACCAGAAGTGGACCGAGAACAGGTCAGATCAGCAGAGCTGAGATCAGAGAAGGAACCAGCTCAGCCAAGAACCAGAAGACGACGGACTAGTCAGGTCGCATCGTCTGCAAGACGTTATTTCAGAGTGAATGTAGTTGTAATTGTAAACGAGTTATCCAATAAACAGCTTCGTCTAATCCAGAATCTACAATTATTTGTCAAGGAACTCCGGACACGTGACAGTATGAAATTCAGCCCAGAATATCTTCTTATGTGTGGACTATATTTCCTAACAAGAGCAACGAATAGATACGCATGATATAACACATCGAAGCGAGGAAACTTGATCAATTCCATGTGTGTATCCGCATAATTCACTTGGCCATCTGCAGGCTTGCTCATGCTCTCCCCTCGCTTCTCTTACCCATGTAGGCAACCAGCTTCCCAAATCCTGCAGCCATTAATTAGTTACGAGTTTCCTTCCCCATCAACAAGGGTAAAGGAGGGCATGCCACACCAAGGGACACACATCACTTTAGTTCTGGTTATTCTGTATAATTATATGTTGTCTAAAAGTAATAACGCAACGCGGGAAAACTCTGTGGGTGCAGGTGGGGCGCCAGTTCAAATGACGTCTCTAGGTCATGGGAGGAAGGTGGGACAAAAGGATGGAACGCAGTCAGAGATCTGTCAGAAAAACTTTGATCATTAATGTACACGGTTTTCCGAAACAATCCGTACATATGTTGGCCACCTGGGGTTCCACTGAACACGCGGACAACTTTCAGAAAGTACAGTAAAGTACGTAATTGTTGTGTCAGCCATTACGAACCATTGTTGCGCAAAGTCGCCTATCTTCTCTCAGGAAGGGCGAGGCGACGAGCAACGGGTACCTCGTAATTTATTGCGTGCAAGATATGTATTTTTCAGGGGGAGGGGAATATGCATATTGAAATAATTAGATTCCATTAGATTTTGTGGACCTTGTTTTCACATGACTGTTGCCAAAGGTGTTTTGGCATAGAATTATCCGATAAAAAGGGGATATGTAATTTTCGTAGCCAATGTCTCGCTTATTTATATCCGACCCCACCCAATATACTCGAATACAATTTAAACATTTAGAACTCCTGCTCACTGGAGGCAGCTTCAGTTTATAGATCAAATTCGGTGAATAATTAATTATTACGAATACTTTAAAATTCTCGTGAGCACCAAAGGTACCAGTGGGCATGCGGANATTTAAACATTTAGAACTCCTGCTCACTGGAGGCAGCTTCAGTTTACAGATCAAATTCAGTGAATAATTACGAAATTATTACGAATACTTTAAAATTCTCGTGAGCACCAATAGGTGCCCGTGGGCATGCGGCTGACCCTTACATATAATGGTTGTTCTACCAGAAGGGTGGGAAGTCTAGGCGAAGTATACCAAAATATTACGACCAATGGCCAGTCCTCCAACCTGTCTTGCTGTCAAGCACCCATCTGGGGCCCTTTATCAGACGGTTATGTTGCTAGGCCTCATCACATGGTCTTGTTGCGGAACATGTAGAAAACAATGCTTCTATCAGTTCCTTTATTGTTGCATGCTGATTCGTTGCTGCGGAAACGTGTTTACTGTGATGTTGCCTAGCAATGACAGTCTCTACTGGTTCCACTGGTCTGGCTTTCAGCTGTCATATCACAATATATTTAGGTCTAAGAACCTTTTAAAGTCACATATAGTACTATCTAGGTCTCGTAAGAAATTACTTTCTTCCCATATTGTGGCAAATCACTAAAATGACTACTTTTAATGTCCTGATAAAATGACGAGTAAAAATATTCCATCACACTATGCCACTTCTCTGATATTTCATCGCCACACAGAGACCAATTTAGCTTTTTATTCAAATAATAAAACTACAGAATAAGCAGCACCATGTCTTGAAGCACCCAGTTTCTTAACGTCACAGTCATGATAAAGATATGCAAGAGTCTGATATGTGGAATTTTAGCAAGGGCCTTAAAGCCAGAACAATATACTACAAAGGTGGTTCAAGGTTGACCTGAACTTCGTTTTTTTTTTTTAAATAATATGCACTTCAGAAGCAAATAATTTCGATTTTAAAGATATCGTCCCCTTACACTAACACATTTTTCCCTTCGTCCTGGCAACTTACTGATGCTGGCAGCACAAAAGGTTTCATCTTGACTGTGCAGCCAAGTCAGGATACTGCATTTGAGTTCATTACCAGTTTGTATTTTCTGTCCTCCTAGGTACACCTTCATTGGTGGAAACATGGGGTTCAATTTCTGCATAAATACACTGGCAGAGCAGGTATCACGATCAAGATCATGTATGTTCATATATGCTGCAGCACTTCATTTCAATAGACCAGAATTAATCACTGTCTCTTCACGAGTGTAATAATTACATCTCAAGATGTATGTNTATTTAACGCAATACTTTCATATGGAATGAAACATAATGAATTGTTACTATGGGAAAAAGGTTAAAAAGATTTTGGTCACCGAATTTTGATATAAGTTGTAGCAAAACATGGCAGCTTTCTACTGTCCATAGTTTAATTTAAAAAATACAATATACTGAAACCAAGATATGAATATATGTAGAAGAGGTAATGTCAAACTCCCATTTGCCAGTTTCAAAACAGAGCTTCATCCAAACTCACTGCTAAAATTCATTTTATGAACCAATTTTTTTGTAGATTTAGAGCTTTTAATGATACGGGCACAATACTAAACTTCAATTGCTGCAGCTGTAGTTTATATTTAAACATTTTATAATGGCTGATTAGTATACTGCAGATTGTTGTTTCCAGTTCTCTGTGAAACAAAAACATCAATTTTAAGGACTCTAACTGGTGGATGGTCCTTGCCAAACAAGTATTTTGACTACCTCCCAGTTATTATCAGCCACATTCCATATTCATCTGCATAAATGTCAGATTTGCGTAAGTTGAATACAAGACAGCTTATGGTCTCACTTTGTTGGGAGTCCCAATACTCGTATTTTTTTTTCATCACTAATCTGTCATACAACAGGTCCACAGTCTCTTCCAAAACAGTTCCTCCACTTAATGCGATCTAGAGATTTCTCCTTCAAATAAAAATATCCTCTTGTTCCCAAGGTCATCCAGCATCTTCTTTCGTCTTCTGGATCTCGCACACATGGTATCTCTGTTTTTGGAAAGAGACTATCTAGGAAGAGTGATAATGTGGTAGTTTTTCCATCTGCTTTCCATATCGCAGCACAGCAGCCGTTCAAACCACTCTGGTCACGCCTGTTGCTATACGAACTTTAACCATCTTGAGCATCATTTGTTCTGTGCTTCAAGACGCTGCTTCCGGAATCAGTTTTTGGGTNCTGCTGATGACGCTGCTTCTGGCATCAGTTTTTGGTGTCTCTCTTTCGTCTGATGCCTACCCCTTGACCTGCNTCTGATGCCTACCCTTTGACCTGTCCAGGAAGGGAGGCCCTGCCAGTAGCTACGCTACCGCTGGTGTAGCTCTCAGGGTCCTTGGCATACTCAAACCCCCTCACCACAATAAGGTGGAGACACCAACGAGGGGAATACTCATATATAAGTGAAAAATATACTTGTATTACTCTATAACGAAATAATATAGAAATTTCATAGTTCTACAGCTTTAAATTTGTATGTATGTATATTTTTGGTTATTTATTTACATTATTATTATTAAATCACCACCATCTAGCATAATCCATTAAAAACTGACTTAAAGATTTTTAATTTACACCACTCAGCTTTGTAACAGGAGAAATATTGTTATAAATTTCTGGCATGCAAATATAAAATCTGTGAGGAAAAATGTGAAACATAAAAAAAAACACAATGAAACAGCATATTTCTCATATTGTATATAAAACTGTCTCACAGAAAAGCGATAAAATTTACATTACAAATTATAAATGTATGAAAAAAGTGCTCAAAATTACTAGATCAAAGGATGCAGGCTAAACTGAGAATACAGATAATGAATAAAAATAGGCTGAACAAGCAGAACTTTCAGGAATAAAGAACTGGAATATCTTAAACATAAAATTATCAACTCCGAAACAAACGGTACAAAAAATATTACAAACTCGTATATAAGCATAAATTAATAAAAAAACTAACAGCATAAAATGAGACTACATGGAGATTCTTGAAGTATTTGAAAAAATGTAAAAATGAACTGTGAGATTTTGTACAATAGGCCTGCATTCTTTTATCAGACTAGATATATTAACTTGACAAAATTATTTTGATTCTGAGCTGAAATACATAAGCCTGTTAGCTACGTCGGTAAGAAAAGTACGTATAGTTGGGGCACCTGGGGTTTGAGTCTAAACAGGGGCAAGGATTTACCTCTCAGCCATCACATCCACACCGGTTATTGGGCTCACCCAGCATCATATGCAATAGGTAGCAGGCAGATGAGTCACCTGTTCTTTAAGAACAGGTCTTCATCAATCCTGACCTCCTTAAACATTTTAGTCATTTAAAACACATATTACACAAGATTACCTAGTTACCACTTCACATAAATGTGATAATTTGAAAATAATTTCATTAACTCAAATAAAAACATGGAGCCCATTTGTCTAACAACAGAGTTTCTTTAGGTCTGTAACCCATGATGAATGACAAGAAGCTACTGTCAAGCTACTAAGCATTCTGCGACCTTGCAAACCGAAAATGTTCTTTCATTAACAAACATATTCGTATAAAACAGCAAAACTGCTACAATAAATTATTTTTTCTTTAGTTATTTAATATATGCTATTATTCAAACTTACCAAAGAAATGAAGTGCGAAGCTAAAGGAGTCTGCAAATGGCTATCTGCTATTGTGGACATTCTGGTCTCATTTCTTTTCTCATTCCATCATTATCTGCTTTGTGTTGCCCTTGTGTTAACAATGATTTGACGGATGGTATCACATTCCGATTTGTGAAAGGTTTCCTTAATAGCTTCACTGTCATAATGTGAGAAATATTCTCAATTAACAATCCATTTCTTCTGTCTGTGTCTACAGTGATACAGCCTCTGTCAGCTTCTTATGAACCAACAACAAGTTTCATTACTTTATGGCTTCTCTGGGGAGTCTATCCAGCAAATCTTGACAGTCATTTACAGAATCTGTGAATTACTTAACATCTGAGATACTTTGCCCCACTCAGCCAGGGACAGAGAGTTGGCCAAGGCTCCAGTGAGTTAACCCATGACAAAAAATACAAATATCGACTCTTTGTACATTATCCACCATCCTGTTTTAAATATAAAACAGGACAATGTATAACATCCAAAAAGTCAGTAATCACATTAATATACCATCAACAAAAACTTTTGGTCTTAATTAGTGACAGAAAATTTGTGCATCATTGATATTCAGTGCTGGAAACTCTGCTTTTTATCTTATGAGCAGCACTGAATGAACTGAACTCTCGGTAACCCCATGTTTCTTGTTTCATATGATTTGAATGATTTTATGAGTTTTTGACTGGATAATTGCACATACCCCCATGGGACAGAATTCTGGTGCTAGAGCTGAAATATAACATCGATATATGTTTGCTATTTCATAATACACATTAATCGGAGTTCATGTAACACACAATAACGGCATTTTCCTTATCAGTAAACAAATTGAAGGTTTTTAAAAATACTGACCATACATGCACACATAAGCATCAGGTGTAAAAGTGCAGGTCCTTATTCCTAAGACAACATGAGAGAACTGTCAATTTTTATGTCATGCAAAAATATGTGATATTAATCTACGGTGTATGTTCTAAGCTGACTTTTACGAACTGGTTACATTCAAAACTGCCTTAATTATAATTTTTAATTTTCATATTTTCTATAATTTGTATACAGGAGAGAAGTTTGAATGCAAAAAATGATATAGGTAGGTAATTTTTTTACTGAAAATATTCATAATTTTTTGTACATATAACAATTTCATTATCAATTAATTGGCACCCACATTTCAGAGGAACCTGCTGCAATCCACCTTTATGGTAAAAGATGGCAGTAGTACACCAACCAAACTACACAGCATCACATCCTAGATGACCATATTCTGATTACTCACTGCCACAAGAACCCAAAATCTCACAGACGGAAAAATGGTTCATTTAAAGTTGCAGAATTTAACAAGTTACAAATTTACAGTATGACATATTTTACTATAAGTTGCCTAAGAGATCTTAAAAAGCATGGCTTTTTATGCATGAACACAATTATAGAAAAAATAAAAAGTAATGTTCCATTCAAAAGTTTTAACTGTTATGGAGATAACATGGAAAGATTCAGTGTCAGTTAACCGAATCAAGGTTACATTGGATAGGAGGTAAATGGACTGTAGTCTTTATTTTCAGTATGCTACATTATGCATTATACAAGTAACCTAGCCTCTGTGTGTAACTAACTCAGAAGGTGCCTTTGGTAACAGAAGAATGTATGTGCAGACTTCATGCATATTTAACCTTTTAAATATTCACAAACTGAAAATTGTTCATACAAAAATCTCTACATATAATGGAATAAAGATTATACACTGTTTACATTTTTTGGCCACAAAGACTTACCTTTTAGCCATTTTATTTTATAGTATGTGTATACACTTCCTGAGTCATTTTATATTTAACTTACAGAAAACTACATACACAGCTGAATACTGATATTAATGATCAAAATGAATTGTCTGGCATTAATTTTCTGAAGTGTCATAATGGGAATCTAATATTCCGTTTAAGTAAATTTCACACATTTGAGATCTGATTGAATTAAAGCAATCTATGTCACTGCCAACAACACATGTTCTAAACATAATTTATTTTAGATATTCATTTCTTAAATTTCAGTTCATAAAGTACAGTGGGAACGAAAGGCTTCACCAATTTTTCATAATTTCATTTTCCAAGTTATTCCACTGTTTCTACCTATTTTGTATATTCATTTCATTTCTATACTTTCAAATCATTTTTTTATAATAAAATGTTGTTTTATAAAATTCCAATAACAAAAATAGCTTCCTCTTCTTTTTAAAAACATGACAGTAACAAAATCTTAAAAAGTAAACATTTTAAAATCCCACTTTCAGTGATAAACATCACTGCAACTGTTCAGTTCAGACGGTTCACTTCGATCTAGAAACAGAAGAGTTTGAATTTTACCTACAGCCACAATAGGTACTTCTGACAGACACTATGTGGTGGCAAATGCATTTGTAACTTGGAAAGTAGAACTTAGCATAATTTAACGTACATAAAAGTATATAAGGAATGCAGTCTACACAACAATATTCAGTATTTAAAAACAAAGAAGACACTATTGTATCAACATTTATTTTATTTCGTTTTTACACACACATGTTTCAACCCTTATTCCGGGACATCATCAGGTGTACAATGCTCCACTTCAGCTGTTGAATTGCAATTAATTTTTATTTAATTTCTTCAAATAAGAATCCTCAGTGTTTTGAAATTATTCAAATGCATAAATTCATAAATTCAGTCATTTGGTCAAAATTTAAAATGCTTAGATAATAAAATTTAAAATTAAAGACATAAAGATTGAAATTACAAACTAAAGATTAAAACATGAAAGTTAAAATAGTATAAAAATGGAATAGATATGTTTTGTGATAAAACTCTGTGACCGCTACGTGTTGACCTGATTTTATGTTGGTAGAAACGACTATAGCGTGGGGCACCCGCGTATCAGAATCTCCTCACTTGCAGTAGGTCATGTAGTCATGACCTTAGTAATGTCTTATGGAGCTCATGTTCATTATTCAGTATGTAATGCATGTTAGGTTATTCTTATGATGGTATATGTACAGCCTGTTCCCTACATTGGTGCTGTCACTATGTTGTAGCAGGGGGGTATCTGCTGAAGCATTGTATGCCTGATAATGACCCAGTATAAGGGTCGAAACATGTTGCATCTGTAAAAACAAAATAAAAACAAATGTCGATATAGTAGTGTCTTCTTTGTTTTTAAATACTGAATACTGTTGTGTAGATGGCATACCTCATGTACTTTTATATACCTTATTTATAACACACAACAGGATGCACACTATTAAGATAAGCATAATTTTCTGATGAACCAAATGTGATCTGAAAACTTCTAAGTTGACTAAACTAAACTCAGGAACTGCAGTCATATATCCCACTTTCATTCCTTTATATATTCAATGAACAGTCTACCCTTAAGATTAAACAATATACATTCCAAGATTCATCCCCTTAATTTGGTCAGGAACTGTACAAAGTAACAGGCTCATGTTTGTGCAAACAGGAGTGTACTCGTATCTGCGTGACCTATTGAAACACTGTAAGTAATCAGATGTGCTGGATGATTTGCTTTGGCCCAAGTGGTATCAGGGGTGAGCCTTCCAGAAAACACTGTTAATTAGTCTCAATTTCCATAACTGAGGGTAAAGAGCATTATCACCTCATGGTATCAGTGAGCCTGAAGGGGACCAGTGAAAATAAACATATACACAGAATTCGGGTAAGTTCTCACTTTCAATGGTTAACTTTCCATAACTCATGAGTTTAGTTAGAAAAATTACTTGTTACAGACTGACGGTTCAGGGAATTGTTCCCTGCAGGTGTGTACAGGTTTTCTTTTGCCACATTTTGAATAAGAAGCTGGAGTAGCTCAGTCAGGCTATTAACTGAAAGACCAAGGATCAATCCAGGTAAGGTGAGAGATATTTCCCTTTCCACCACATACACACTGGGTCTGGGGCTCATCCAACCTTCTATTTAAAGGGTTCCACCTGCTCTTTCCTTAGGGGTAAAGTAGCTTGGGTGTTTAAGTGACAACTCACCTCCATCTAATGCTGAGGAATGAAGATTGGCAGGGGAAACCGAAGTACTCAGAGAAAACCTGCCCCAGCGCCACTTTGTCCACCACTAATCCCACTTGACCAGACCCGGGATCGAACCCGGGCCGCCGCGGTGAAAAGCCAGCAACTAAATGCTTGAGCTATGGCGCAGCCCAGTAATGTAATTGGTTGAGTCATTATGCTACAAGCTGGAAGGTTGCAGGTTCAAATGACTGGATTTTTCAATTGACCTAACTCTTACAGCCACATTAAGGCCCTTGTGTTGACTCAGCCTCTAACAGAAATTAGTACCAGTAATCTTCCTGGGGGTAATGAGTGGTCACCACATAAGGCTGACAACCGCAGCGCCATCTGTAAGCAGACTGTCTAGAAAATATGGAAGCCTTGATATCTCACAACCCCCTAGGCCTCCACAGTCTGTTATCAGGGATAAATTTACTTTCTACCTTTATCACTTCTCAGGGAAAAGTATTATTTCATGATAGCTTCAGCTTCACATGCTACTATTACCCTCTACATCTACATATATATATATTACACTGTAACGTAAGTCAGACGACAGCTCTGAAATTACATAATTTTGGATTACTATATCAACTTGACAAGAGTTAACATGTTGCATGAGCATAAGTTATGCAGTAGGTCATGAATAGGCAAGCATATTCTTGTTTCAGTGTGTCATATATGTTCTGTGAGAGTTGATAATATTTTGATGCAGAAATGTCAAGTGTACTTAGAAATCATCATGGAATTTGACTTAGACCATGAAGATTTGGAAGACTTCTTTGCTTTCCAAAACAGTCACATCCAGTCCAGTAAAACTATGTCAAAAACAAGATAACCAAAGCAGACACTTGATAGTAGATGCACATAATACAATTCCAGTATTCCTATACAGCTGCTTTATTTCACAACTCCATGGAACTGTAGAGTAAAATCTATCTGCACATGCCTCCAGTTAATTTCAAGCACATCCAGCCACAAAATACATCATCATTTGTGGTGTGTACACAGTCCTAATTCCATTAGTTAATTCAGTAGTAGATTCCACTATGAAATAAGCAGCAATATATTAGATATGACTTGGGGCTCCAATGGGAATGTACATCAACGAAAGGATAACGTAGAATGGGGCCTACAATTATTTTAATTTGACTGAAGAGCCTGTTCAGAATTTAATTCATAAGGTTGGCATAATTTATTCCTGAGCATAAAGCTGTCTTATTAATAAAATATGCACAATCAATTACAGATGCACTCTTTCCTGACATTAATCAACTGGTAATGAAATGCCCACAAGTTGTTCCTGAATAACAACAACCAAGTCCAAACATGCATGAATCACACTGCCCTCTACTATAACAAACCTCTAAGCTTTATTGTTCATAAGAATAGATCCATTTTAAGTTGTATCTGTATTTCTCCTAATAAGGAATGGCTTTCTCTGGAATTAGGCAGCCTAAATGGGCCACTGTATAGTTTGATATAACTAATCATAAGTTATGGAGTAGTGTACAGTACAACGGTCATATTAAAGGACATACTAGTACTGGTCAGTTGTCGGTACAATAGAATCACATTCACGATCATGAATTTTGTCCATCAGATTGACTTGATTTTGTTGTTCTAGGGAAATCCAACTATAGTGCTTCATGTGAAAACAGACACCTCTCATTTACAACTATATATACATTGAATTCTTGTTTCATTCAGTTGGAGACTTTCTCTAGAGGAGCGAACTGAACTGTGACTACAACGACTGGTAATTTTGTATGTGTCAAGGATCAATGAATGAATAATGATCATAGAAGTAGGACCTTTGGAACAACAACTAAGTCATAAACAAATGACTCTCATTTTATTCATCAGTCATATTATCATGTAAAAACTGGGACAAATGAAAATTATATAATTAAAGCAAATCTTCCTCAATCAGAAATTGTAAAGGCATGGTCTGTCATGGCAATAGTTTCATTTTCTGGATACAGGAACATGAAGTTTGGAGGCTAGTTTTACCTTTCTTTGGGTTAAAGGACGGACTGGGTACCGTGCCAATTGGAGCCTTTACATAAAGGTAGCCATTACCTACAGAAAATTTTGTATTAACGGACACAAAACACTTGCCATGAATGACAACAGGTCAGAAGACTGTTTCAGAAAGTGTGTGTGTGTGTGTGTGTGTGGGGGGGGGGATACTTATTTTTACTTGAAGATGGAGACAGAGCCAGTCTCCAAAACAAATTACATCTTGAGTTATCATTCTGTTGTTTTTGGTTCATTAAATTTAATTTTAAATCACTTCACAGACCATTATATATTGATTTAAATATGTCAAAATGAGAATACAGAATAGCAAAAATTTAGCATTTGTTAACCTCAGTGATGGTCCAGTGCTGAATGGCTGAAAACAGTAAATTAAAAATGTGAAGAAGCAGTTGAGGTCTACTTTAGAGCACTATACCAGCATATGCCTGGGGAAACCAAGGAAAACTAAAATAAAGGAGTCTCATAACCTATATCAGGGGCAGACTATCAGTCTGTGACCTCCAAAATATAAATCAGGAAATGTCAATCACTACTCCTTGATACTGAGTCTGGTATATATTTTATTTATCCAGAGAAAATATATTATAGAAAGAAAATACTCCAATGACAATATTAAACAATCATCTCAAACATTTAGAACAACAAGAATGTGCTCTTCATAATATTTGGCATGTATATATCAAATTACAGATTTTGTTAGGCAGACTGATGCAGACAATTGCACTACTGGCCTAAAATATATGAAAGCCCTGTCTGTATTTAAACAAATGTCTCTCATTCAAATACTATAAAGAACTATTTACCAAATTACAGATTCCGTGAGGCATGACACAGTTGCACAGAACTGTGCTGCTGGCGTTGCCAAGCACTGCTACTGATCCTTACATGGTGAGCGTGTCTCCAAGTCATGCAAATCCTCCTCTGGGATGTCTCTGTCACCCCAGCCCCACAAATTGTGGCTGCCATCACCAGAACGGTGGACTCGGCGCCGGATCATCTCCTCTGAGACTGTCTTGCAGTCATAGGCCCAGCCCAACCATGTGAAGAAGTCAATAAAGGCAGTGGTGAGGTTTAATGAGTAATGGCCCAGCTCAGCTGTCTTGTAGTCGTAGGGGAACACATGATGGTAGTTGTGCCAGCCTTCACCCAGTGCTGCCATCGAGACTGCAAAGTTCTCCACTGGGCTGATATGTCTGCTCAAGTAACATTTAAAAACTCAAAATTATTGCGGTTTTGGAATTTTTCCATCATCATGTATTCTAGAAAACAGAAAACACGACCTTTTCGAAATTGGATCTCTTTCCAAAGGACCCAACTGAATAGGTGTCTTCACCTCCCCCTCACCTGGGGACAGAAACAGATTCAGTTTCCAAAATGTCGTGTTTTCTATTTTAGAGAATACGGGATGATGGAAAAAGTCCAAAATCCCAGTAAATCTGAGTGTTATGTCATCATCAGAACCCTTCAGAATCAACATTAGAAAGTTTGAGAGATCACTGTACACAGTGGAAAGAGGCCTGGGCACCCTCAGAACGTGAAGTGTGGAGTGAATTAGCAAAGAATGATGAAGGAGAACCAAGAAAAGTCCTCAATCAAGGAGCCAACATTATACTGAAAGGTCAGGTATGTCAGTGTTGAACCATCCTATGATATCTGCAGACCAAGGTCCAGGAATAAATACAATCATACAATACTAGCAATTCCAGTTGCCAAATTAAGAACTGCCTATACACATGCACTGGATGTAAAAACAGAGACTATCAGATATTTTCACAAGAAAATTCATCACAGCTAACAAGCAAATAATGTGATGTACCTAAACTAATATGAACTGATCATAAATATCAGAGATCTGTCAGTTGGTGGACTAAACTTTGTAAACCAGTTGCATTTAAGTGTAAAAGCGTGCAGTCATACCTCAGACTTACGGCCTGAAATATTACTCAACACGGGTAAATTGGGTACATTATAACATGGGATACCGTGGCTCAAAGCTCAGACCACTTCATCGATACTTCAGCTCTGATTATGCTGTAATTCTATCGTTTGTATTATGAAAGAAATAGAGGGACATCAAATAACACAGCACTAAACATTTAAACTATTAAAATATTAAAAATAAACACGTTAATATATTATCAAGAATCATAAAAGAGCCATCATAACATTAATCTGAGTTAAAATTCAAGCCACAGGGGCATTTACAAACGTTATGAAAGATTAAATAAACATTTCATCAAAATTCGACATCTCCAGCACCTTGCTGAATTAAGAAAAGGAAGCCCTCGTCATGGGAGATTTTGGAAGGGACTCAGCATGGCAGAGGGTGCTGAAAAAGCGGTCTTCCTGAAAAAGGTGTTCAAAGTGGGCTGACTGCTGCTCATTTCTTCTCCCTGCAGGTATTTTTGTAACCAACAAGGAATTTGCTAAACTTCCACTGAGAGTTGTTACCTTTTCATCATTGGGACTCTGTGATGTTCACTGTCGCATCAATATACCAGAAAAACTTAGCCAAAGCTCTCAAAATTAGAGTTTCAAATCACAAGTCAAAAAATTTGGAGATTAAGTCCAGAAATTTGTAAGCCACGATGTCATAGGTTGGGGTATACTGTACAACCATTAACTACCTTCAAGAATTAATATGATTTCTTTCTCATTATTTAATCTAATCTGATCTAATTAAAAATTAATGTATGACACCACACCTATGATTTTTACCTGTTCTTTATCAATTTCACTCTGGGCACCACCTGAATATATTTTTTCGCTTAGGGGTGGTGGAATCCAACTGGGTCCACTCGGCAAGGCGACCACCGATTGGCCTATTGTAGCCAGCCGCGGGTGATTATGATAATGGAGAATTTTGTGGAATGAAGATTGACAAGGGAAACCTAAGTATTCAGAGAAAACCTGCCCCAGCGCCACTTTGTCCACCACAAATCAAACTAGGGCCGCCGCGGTGGGAAGCCAGCAACTAACCACTTGAGCTATGACGTGGCCCTCACCACCTTAATTTACCTTGGGATAAAGGTGATATGCGTGAAAGCGGCGGTAAACTTGGGAGTCGGGAACATGAGACTCGCGCTGAATTTATGTAGGCGGAAGTCATTCTTTGGAGAATGATGGAGCTGTAATTGTACCGTGATCGGCCAACTAGGTATCTTAGAGGAGCGGGCACCAAACTCTCCCGAAACATTCTGAGCTGTGCCTTCCTGCAGCATTAGCGGAGACTGGTCACTCTACAAAAAAATGCTCCAACTCCTCACATGTGGTTCATATTGCTAAAACTAATGTTTTGACATTACTGTCAAACAGCTGAATGGCTGTCGCCAGCGAACTCAGATTTGCTGAAGAAAGGTGTATTATAAGTGTATAACATTGCAATAAACGTTACAATATCTCACCTCATTCGTGGTTAACGTAAACACAATTTAAATTTCGATCAAGTGAAAAAAATTAAATGTTAATTAATGTCTTCCATCTAATTTCAAGAGAGCATGAAAGGCATTTGATAGGATTCTATGTATGGGAGATCAGATCATCTACTTATAAAGACTACAGAAAAATTCGGTCATGATTCCATGCTATGAGTGACATTTTAACTTTCGATTCCAGTGTTCAAAGTGGTCTAAGACTCAATGTGCCTTAGACTGCGCAATCTGATTAAAACAATATTTAATCTGTTTTGGAAGTGAGGTAAACTGCCGGAGCTGACCTCTTCGTATCTACCTCGCATTCTGAGATACATTACTTGTCATAGGGTCGGTTTCCCCACATGTGGGCGATACTGTTCACGAAGAAGGCAATGTTGAGGGTTACACAGAACCGGAAGTTGAAGAGAACCCAGAAGGACTGCCACAAACCCTCATCCCAGTAGTACCATGGCACCAGCACTGGAATGGCTATTACAAAGATGGCGAACAGCGGCACATACAACCTAGAAAATATGAAATGAACACACAATCATCTAAAATTCTAGACTAACGTGTCTATCCATAATTTGCACAATCAGATCCGTAAGACATGATGAGAGGCAACCCTGACAGACACGCCTCACACCGTCAAGTTTCATGATGCAGATTCTTCTGAACACCTGGGAGTCGTTCATCTACATAAAAACTTCTCAGCATCTTATGTAGCCTGAAGATTAATTATTATGTTCACGCAAGCCTGTCATTGGAGAATCCTTTCCACGCCCTTATATCGTATTTATTAAGGTCCATTATAGAATTACCCATCGCCAAAGCGTGATTCTCGCAAGTGGCCTCTTCCCTTCCATTTCTGCAACAATGCCATATATATTTCTCATCTTATACGCTGCTATATGCCCTGCCCATCTCATCTTCCTTGATTTGAGGGCCATAGGAATTATGAAGCTCCTCACTCTGCAACTTCCTTCCAGTGAGGTGTAACATTTAGACACCTTAAATTGCACCACACCAATATCGAGCGATTGTAACAAGTTACCCGTTAATTTCCCATCGCATTCCAGAGGAGAATAACTGAGGATATTGTAATATAAACTTACCGCTTCTGCCACATGACGATGGGGTCTGCCTCCAGATCGCTCATGTCCACTGACTTTCTCTTCTCCTCGACTTCGGGATGCGGCGTGAGCACCAACCAGCCGACATGTGAGAACAGGAAACCGCGGCGGGCATCATGTGGGTCAGCATTCGTCTCGCTATACTTGTGGTGCACCCGGTGGTCCAGCGCCCACTGATACACGTGGCGCTGCAAACAGATTTAGTCGCTACAGTCTGTCGGGAATTGATTATTCCTCTTATCAGCGTGGAACCCAGCATCACGGTGTTTGTGGCTATGCTCTGGTGCGTACTCTGATGGCAAGTATCGCCTTCTGGTGCTCAAATAAACATTACTGAACACTGCTACGGGTTGTAACAGTGCCGGCTGAATGGTTTCGGAAACTGAATCTGGTTTCGCGGTCATGGGTAAGGGGAGTGCTCGACGAAGACTAACACTTTCTAACATGCTGGACCGAGTAGAATCATTTTCCCCATGGCTTCTAGTTTCCGAAACACTGTGTATATCAGATATATCCAAGACAAAGGACAACATCCAATTTAGTCACACTCGTACAGCGCTACACGTGAGGATTACTACAGCTGTTATGATAATTACATTCTCATTTTCATCTAATCCTTCCTGATGTCATCACCTTTATAATAGTAACAATAATCTGTGAAGTGTTTCATACTTTGCTGATAAATGTGTCATATACACTTGTGCGATCTCCCATCCCGGCCGCCAGCTCTACAAGCTGGAGATAGTCGAATCTTGCACGGGCGACATAAACGTATGGTTCAAGGCTGCGCCTTAGCTCAAGCGGTTAGTCGCTGGCTTCCCTCCGCGGCGGCCCGGGTTTGTCAAGTGGGATTTGTGGTGGACAAAGTGGCGCTGGGGCAGGTTTCCTCCGAGTACTTCGGTTTCCCTGCCAATCTTCATTCCACCAATTGCTCCACCCTCACCTATCATCTGGGGCTGGTACAATAGGCCAGAAGTGGCCGCAGTACAAGGGACTTAGTCCCACCCCACTAGCAATAAAGAAAATGGTTCTGCGATCTGCGTGTGTACGCAAGCAGCAAGCTGTACTCACCTGGCCTGAGACTGTGAACAGTGTCACGAGGAGTAGCCTCAATGGCCACTTCGCTTTGTAGGCACGATGTGACCACAGCCTATGCGCTCCCGCCGTGATCCCGAAACCTGACGCGTACACCACCACGAACGCTGGAAAGTAATGACGTAATGAGAAATTGTACATCTTCATCACCATCAACTGCTGACCTTCCCACCAGCAAGGGTCATCGCACAATAAACTCAACCTTTCTCTTTCCCTTGCATTCACTCTTTCCGCTTCTCTTATTTTGACAAAAAAAAAAAATGAAAGTAGGCTCATGCGATCACCATGCTGCCTGTAAATCCCCCCTATCAACTTCCAAATGGTTGCACCAATCTTTACGAAACTTGAAATGTATATCACGGCACCCAAGCCCATCTCAACGGTGTACTTAATAAATACCTCACATAAGTCTGTGTCTATATATGTATACCTCATGGCTGCTAGGCAACGGTTCGGTAAAGACGTTATTGCGGCAACGAATATACACCCGAGAATAGAACAATTGCTGGGCACGTCGTTTTCTACGTGGTCCGTGTCGTATCAAGGAAGGTAAGAGTGTAACTCTTCCCAGAACTTCTTGTATTTTCGGTACTATCCCTCCTCCGTTTTCTGTGTTTAGTTCTCACTCTTCCCATTGGTAATTTTTCGCTGTCATTTGTTATATTCTCAAGGAATCCTCTGCTGTTCTGTGTAACAAGTGTCCACCGTACACTAAATTTGATCCTTAACTCAGAAGAGTGTAATTATTAGGGCCCGGATTTTGATGACATGTCATCTTTTTTTCCATGTATCCTATGAGATGCTCTTAAATACATAAATCTCGGATATGAGCTGCTGGTTACAGAAATGTAATTTTATAAGTAATTTTTGTCATTTTTTGACATTTTTAGGTTTAAGGTCATTTTTTCATTTTGGGGCTAATTTTTTGGTAAATTTTTGGACTTTTAAGGGTATTTCTAGTCATTTTTGGCCATTTTAGGGAATTTTTCTTCATATGTTTTCTGAAATGTGAATAACATGGAAGTGAAGTGTTCTTTCTTTTCTCCTTTAGGTAATTTTTCTGGATTATTTTGGTCATTTTTTGAATATTTTCAGGTCATAAAAATCAGGGCCCTGCATATTACATTTTGGGGTCATATTTTAGGTAATTTTTCTGGATTTTTTCGGTCATTTTATAAATATTTTCAGGTCATCAAAATCTGGGCCCTGCATATTATATTTTTGGGTCATATTTTAGGTAATTTTTTAAATATTTTCAGGTCATTAAAATCCGGGCCCTGGTAATTATTATTTAAGTTGCGGGCTGTTTGATAGATGGGCCATATCTGATGGTAACATGTATCACACGCAGGAGTGCATATGTATATATATATATGTATATATATATATGTTATGGTGTTAATTACACAATACATAGCAACTATGTATTAACGGATCGCGCCATAACTCAAGCGGTTAGTCGCTGGCTTCCCACCGCGGCGGTCCGGCTTCGATCCCGGGTCTGGTCAAGTGGAATTTGTGATGGACAAAGTGGTGCTGGGGCAGGTTTTCTTTGAGTACTTCGGTTTCCCCTGCCAATCTTCATTTCACCAATTGCTCCACAATCACCCTCACCTATCATCTGGAGTGGGTACAATAGGCCAGAAGTGGCCGCAGTACAAGGGACTTAGTCCCACTCCACTAGCATTAAAAAAAAATATGTATTAAAAATATGCATTTATAATTTCACTTTTTATAAGTCCATGTATGTGCTGGGATAGCGTAGTCGGTACAGCGACTGGCTACGGGCTGGACTACCGAGGGGTGTAGTTCGAGTCCCGGTAGGGTCAAGAATTTTCTCTTCTCCACGTCGTCCAGACCAGCCCTGGGGTCCACCCAACCTCCTATTCAATGGGTACCGGGAGCTCTTTTCCAGGGGGTAAAGCGGCAGGGGCGTGAAGCTGACCACTCACTTCCAGTTAGTGCCGAGGTCAAGAAAACGTGAATCTATACATCCACTCCCCATACGCGTAGTGCTTAATTAGTTAAGCACAGGGACAAATTTACATCATCATACCGTTTATGTGGAACTCCAAACACCCTATCTACACATCGTGATCTCCCGAGTTATGACGCCATGTAGTGTCGGATGTTCGTACCAATGTTTCACAGGAACATACTGCCTCCGTCTTCAGTTCTACATGGAATCTTAAACCTGACGACCATAGCATCAATCTTCATCAGCCTCAAATCGTATATTCTATAATACAATTTCACCAGTCGAATATTTAAGTGACAAGAAACAGGAAGATCCGAACTGGTAAATGTTCTAATTATAACTAGAGCTCCGCGTTTGCAAGGCAGCGACCTGATGTGACGGCCACTGCAGGAACTCCAATACATATTCCCTGCACGGGGCGAAAGGTCAGTAGTCTAAAAACACGAGGGGCTGTTCACATCCAATAAACGTACGCCAAAGTGCTACAGTAGGGCCGTCTGGCAGAGAGACCTTCCCAGCTTTCTTGGATCCCATATCCGTGGAACGTCAGGTGCAATGACGGTTTGCGCTAACCGGTATTATTCCCCGGAAGAAAGGTATGACCTACAAAGAAATACTTGGAAACACACAAGTACAGCTTGACACCTCTACAGTATTTCAATACAGACAAACCCACAGATATCAGTCTCCATGTCACTACTGCGGTACGGCCGTGCTTTCATGATTCCCTTACCAGCAGTCAGCAATATCCACCACTACTAGCCGACAGTGAAGTTCGCAATGTCCGCCTCAAAACAGTATTGGCCGACAGGCACGCGTTTCCAGTTTTAATTGCAAGCATTGTTGCAATGCCAGAATGTTTCTGGCTCCCTTTGCACGCTTCGGATGTTTGAACTTGAAATGACGATCTTGCAACGGCGCTACAATATTCGGCCCGAGCTGGAGGCTGCTACGTCACAGGCAGTCGGGGCTAGGCATCATTCAGTCATGACTCTACTGTAGTTCAGGAGCTGTCAACTTCCCTCTCCATTCGCTTTACTTCTTGAGAAAGATAACTTGGCGCCCGTTCGGCAAGAGGCAGTGTGGGCCCCAGAGCGGTTCTCAATGTGATGGGAAAAATACCACCATCTTACAAACAACTGGACCGGCCAACCAGTCGGCTAGGGTGTTATTTCACTCAACCATGACAGCTCCAAGGTATCATGCAGAAAACCCGCTTAAGGGACCCATACACGTACGAGTCTGGCTCGCGAGTCCTCGGGTGCCAAATTCGTCCGTGTGTGGGTCGCAAGGTTGGGAGTCAGCTCATGCGTTTGTGGTGAAATTAATCCGAACCCGGCTCCCGAGTCAAGCTCGCCGAGCCGGACTCATGAGCCAGACTCGTACGTTAATGGGCCCCTTTAGGACGAAGCTGCAAGGGCCCAAAACAGTTTCCGACTTACGCATTTATGATCCACACCGTGAGTCAGAAATAAATGTCACCGAGAATAAGCAGCAGGCCTACACGTTTTCATCTGTCTCCATATGCTCTTGATTCCCTTCCTTCTCCTGACCTACGATACAGCCAGAGAAGTGTGTGGATTGCTTCTGTATATTATTGTAACTACAAGAGTGCAGCTGTCTGACAGGCTTTACGGCCTTTCCCTTTAACTCGTTGGTATCAGCAGCTGAGAACAAAACTGATCATTCGTCAGCATAACAGACATCTTAATGAAGCATGGATGATTAATAATCACTACAATAAAAATGTTATACCACAATGATAGATACAAACACAACACAAGCATTAAGGTTCGGCCACACAGAGCGCTACGTACGCTATACGAACAGAAAAATATCTCCCTTTATTGCTAATGTGACTGGCCACACAGACTTCCGTACGCTACGTACGCTATGTTCCCTATGTTAGCTGCGTCGCAGAGCGTACACAGCGTAGGTGGCGAACACGGCGTAGCGCTCTGTGTGACCGAACCTTTACACTCGTCCCGTGCTAGTTTTCATTCACAGTAACTCGTTCTTCAGCCTGGGTGTTTGAGGCAAGGCTGACGACCTTGCTCTGAAGGAAAAAAACCCACCAAAGAAGTGAAAACCAGAAGGTCTAATTTTCTAATGAAGGCTGTGGCTCAAAAAGGGCTGTTTTGCAAATGATAGTGATCGAAACTTCCTGTTAAAAATGCAGAAGTCAGCCATGATATGAGAGCCTATCAGGAAATTCGAACTGTCCTGTGAAGACTGGTTTGAAGAAATTTACAAGTAGCCAGATAAGAATCCTATTTTGTAGCGTCATATTATGTGCAAGGCAATGTTTATCATAATTCAGTCGACACTACTCGTATATGTTTCGAGCTACTGGGGCCACCCTTTTTCCTATGGGCTATACTCGTACTTCCCTCTACACTGAACAGTTCGAGAAGCAGCAAAGAACTCTGCCCATGCAAGCAGCAGGACACTTCTGACCCCAGCCTAGACGAATCAAGCTATCTCAAATGTCATAATCTGTTCGTCCCATGAACTAGTTCGTGTTCACGTCTTCTACAAAACAGTAATCAAACCAGGCCACGTCAACAGATTCGCGGTCAACGAGTCGACCCTTCTAATTTCCGTATGAATGAGAAGGCTCCACAACAAAAGTTGGTGGTGTGATCATTCATTCATGAATGGTTCTACCGCCATTTGTTGGGCCCTGCCCTCTTCTTCAGTTTTCGTAAACTTTTATACACAGACGGTAGGACTCCTTGGACGGGGGATCGGCTCGTCGCAAGGCCGCTACCTACACACAGGACAACACAAGCACAGAATAAATATACACACAGACATCCATGTCTTGAGTTGGATTTGAACCCACGAACACAGCGTTCGAGCGAGGGAAGACAGTTCATGTCTTAGACCGTGCAGCCACCGTGATCGGCGTATTCTATTTTTTTTTTTCCTTGGCACTACAGCCCCAGTAGGCCTACGCCTACCTCCATGAACTTCTCCGTTCACTTCGATTTTTCTAGATCTTACACAATCGCTAGGACTCCTTGGGCGGGTGATCAGCTCGTCGCAAGGCCTCTACGTGTACACAAACACAGAAAAACACACACACAAATTAACATCCATGCCCTTAGTGGGATTCGAACCCACGAT